ATTATTACAGTGCTGGAAGCCCAGGAGGCGCCTCTGGGTTGGCCTAGGCCTGGCTCTGGCTGGACCTCCTCGTTGCACCTGGGACCACTGGTGACAAGTGGCCTCTGCAGGGATGTTCCAGGACTGCGGTGTGTGCACCCTCGGAGCACTATGCCCGACTGTAAGGGCGCACTCAGGTGGGGCCTTGGAGAGCGCCTCAGCCACAGCCCCTCACTGCCCAGCCCACCTGGCTGGGCTCCCTCACCCCAGGCGGGCTGGACTCCAACTCCACCTGCTTTCCAGGCAAGTAGACCCGCTGCCCATCCAAACATCCACATCCTCTTCCTCGTCTGGAGCCTGGAGGAGCTAAAAATGCACCGGCTCAGCCCCAGGAAAACAAACAAAGCTTCCCGCCCCTTTGTACGAAGCCCAGGCCCGAGGATGCAGAGGGGGCTGCTCTAACTGGGCCTCGGGCTGGGGTCTGTCTGTCTGCCTTCCTGGGGTCTCCCTGGAACTCACTGTGTGGCGGCCAGAGCCCTCCCAGGGTGGAGACCCTGTGTGAGCACAACCGGCCCGGGTGAGGTGGCAGCCCTTCCAGCCTCTGGGAACCACAAAAAACCAGTTCACCTTTCCTAGCCCTGGCTCCGGAGCTCAGAGACCAGGGAGTGTGTGAGGCTGCGCATGTGTGTTCATGCACACGCAGCTCGGGGTGGTAACAACAACCATCACGATGACCGACATTTGTGCAGGGCCCACTCGGTACTTTCAGCACTGAGCAAGTACTGACTCATCCAGCCCACTTTCAGGGGGGTACTGCTGCTTCTATGCTTTACAGATGAGGAAACCATGGCTCTGAAAGGTTACAGAATTTGTCCAAGGTCACACTGCTAGCCAATGGGTAGAGCAGGGCTTTCACCCTGGTCATCTCTGACCACAGGACTCTCTAAACTCTCTAAACTCACCCTCTAAACTTCCCTTTGCCTATCTGTAAAATGGGTACACATGATGGTAACAGCTTCCTGCCCAGGAGACCATGAGGTGGCCCAAGCAAAAGGCCAGGAAGTTCTTTTTCCGCCAGCAAGGCCTTCTGGGAGGGGATAGCCAGGGGGTTAGGGCAGCCAGTGCCCCCACGTCATGTAGTGGTGGAACACGGGCTCTGCTGTCACGCAGTTCCCTGGCTGGAGCGTGCCAGACCGCCCTGCCATGGCCTTGGCAGCCCCACTTCCTCCTCTGCAAGGTGGGAAAAGGAAACTTGCCTGGGACAGTTGGTGCCAGTGCTTCAGTACAGAGAGGGGACCCGGTACCCAGCATTCCCACCCTTCCGGACTTGCGGGCCTGGGCCGGGACTCACCTTCACAGCATCTCCTTGCCTCCCCCAGCGGAGTCTGGCACCCACCCCTGTTGCTGCCTTAGTTTGAAATCTTGTGTTGCAAACCCCTCCCCACCTCCTGCCACCTTTTAAGAAGGCTCTGGCATCTCTGTACCAACTGACCATGATTCAAAGGGAAAAACTGGCAAGGTGTTTACTCATGTATTCCTTCCTTCAGTGGACATTTATTGAGCAACTAATGTACACAAGGAGCTGCAGCCTTTACTCACCATGAGCTCGGTCTAGGACTAGACTGACAGATGCGCAACATCAAGACAATACTGCAGGACACGTGCTGTGGGGCCCAGAGTGAGCGCCAGGCCTGCGGGCTTCCTGGAGGAGGTGTCAGCTACGAACAGCAGAAGTCAGAGATGGAGATGTGCTCTGAGCAGTCCTGTCTGCAAGGGGAGGGCGCAGGGGCATTTCTCTCCACAGGGCATTTGAGCCTAGGTGCTAGGCAGACCCTGCTGCTTCTGCAGGTCCCTGTCAGGCTGCCTCTATCTGTGCCGACATCTGCATCCATCGCAATGATCTGTGACCCTAAATGCTGGGACTGGGTCATTGCATTTTGCAGTGTTTCACACAGGGCCTGCACACAGTAGGCACTCAATGCCACTGCTCAGAATGGCCTCGCCCCTCCCTCACCCCATCCCTGAGCCATGCTGTATTAATGTGTTCATGTTCACCGAAGCCCTAGGTAACGTGTGTTACTGTGAGCCCGGGCTGGTGGTACGCACCTGCAATCCCAGCTACTCAGAGGCTGAGGCAGGCAGATTATAAGTTCCAAGCCAGAGGCTGGGAATTTAGCTCAGCGGCACAGTGCCTGCCTGGCAAGCACAAGGTCGTGAGTTCGATTCCTGGTACCGGAAAAAAAAAAAAAAAGGAAAAAAAAACACTTCCAAGCCAGCCTGGACAACTTAGTGAGACTTTGTCTCAAAATGAAATTTTAAAAAGGGGTAGGGATATAGCTAGTGGTAGAATGTACTTGCCCAGCATATATGAGACCCTGGGTTTAACACCCAGTACAACCAAAAAAAAAAAAAAAAGTTGCCTGTCACATCGCCTGCCAGGGAACAGCCCATCTCAGCGGTCTAAGCATGCGACTCTGCAGCAGGACCACCTGGGTTCAAGTCATGGCTCTAGCACTCTCTGACCTTGAACAAGTTGCTCGGCCGCCCTGTGCTCATTTCCTCACCTGTGAGACAGGACTAACATAGCACACAGAAGCACCGTTGGGCTGCTCAGAGAAAGAACACGCCCACCCCAGGGTCAGCTCAGCAGTAATGGTAGCTATGATCATCTGCTCAGAGACAAGAATACAGGTCAAGGTCAAGATCACCTGACTGTCAGATGGGACAGGGCTTTTTTTGGTCTTTTTGAGACAGGGTCTCCCTATGCAGTTCGGGCTGGCCTTGAGCTCACTTTGTAGCCCAGGCTGGTGATGATCCTTCTGCCTCAGCCTCCTGAGCGCTGAGATTACAGGCATGCGCCACTACGCCTGGCTCTGGGACAGGGCTTTTTAAGATCTAAATTTGTAGACATCAAATGCGCTGTGTTTGTGACCCCCTCCCTGATCTTGCTTGTCACTTTGTCTCCTCAGTGGATCTGTTCACTCAGGTCTGTCCAGGGCAGGCCCTGAATTAGCAGGGATGGTCTCATCTGAGCTCTGCACGTGGGCAAAAATTCGTTTACAACTGTACTGAGGTACAATACATGGCACGGATCTGTCCTGATACGTGGGTACGCCTGTGAAGCCATCGCCACAACGACAGGAGACACTTCCATCACCCTAAAAATTTCCCATGCCTCTTTGCAATCCCTCCCTGCCTCTGATACAGCTACATCTCCAACTCTGAGGGATGAGAAATGCAAAGTACTGAGAGGGTAAACGGTTCTCCCAAGGATGAACCAGGATTAGAACCAAGCCACCCGTGCGCAGGGTGCCGCCCGGCTGTGGAGCCACGGCACTTGGGGGCGGGGGGTGGGGCGCAGGGGGCAGGAGGAGCGTGGGCGTCTGTGGCTGTTGGTAGAGAGGCCACCTGGGAAGTCTTCCCTGGCCGGCTCCGCCCCAGCTAGGACCATGAAGAGGCTTCGGTGTGCTCAGGGTGTGCTGTGGGAGGAAGGGCTGGCACTCCACAGGGACTCATGTGGCTACAAAAGGCAAGTGACAGAGGCAGCGTAAACGAATGAGATCAAGGTGCCCTAAAGCCAGGAGGCTGGGCGACGCAGTGAGCCTGCGGGTCCTGTGGTGGGTGCTGGGCTCAGCGTGCCTGCGTGTGACTGTGTCACTGTGACAGTGTGACTGCTGGAGGCTGGGACACAGCGGCTCCCTGAGCTGGGAGTGGAAGGCGTTAACTGTGTGAATGCTGGTGTGGGTGGGCAGGCCCCGGGTCTGCAGCCGGGGGCCGAGGGAGGTAGTAAACATCAGGGTGACGGCAGGATCACGGTGGCAGCCCTGCCAGGATGCTGCAGTGTTGTGGGGGTTTGTGTGACTTTGCAGTTCCACAAATTCCGATTCAGCCTAAGCTGGCAGAGTCTGCGGTGTGCCAGGCAACCAACTAGGAGGAGGAGACGTGGACCGGCTTGCAGCTGAATGGCACGGCTGCGGGGTTTGGAGCATTCACCTTGAGGCTGGCTCCTGCTGGATGCTTTCGGATCTTTCCGACATTTCATCCATACAGTAAGCATGCTCCCGCTTTGAGGCTAGATGGAGGAGCACAAAAGAAAGTGACTTGCCCAAGGTGACCCAGCTAGGAAGGCCAGACAGGATCTGAATTCAGGCTGTCAGGCTGCAGAGCCTGAGTCCTTCCTGTGGGAGGCTTGGCCTCCTGGCCCGGCCCTGGGACACCCCCTTAACCACGTGGGCGCTTAACCTGTGGAGGTCACTATGCTGACGGGTGGGGCGGCCGGTCACTCCTAGTTCTTCTTTCCCAGGGGCCAGATTGGCTGACAGCAGGGCTACCCTGGGTTGACAGAGACCCCCCTAAGCGCCCCGCCCTCGCCCCAGGCCCTCCTCCAGCTTTGCCCCCCTCCTGGCGCTGACTCTCGGCCAGAAGAGGAAAGGCTGTCTCCACCCACCGCTCGCACTCTCCCTTCTCCTTTATAAAGGCCGGAACAGCTGAAAGGGTGGCAACTTCTCCTGCAGTCGGGAGCGGCCCGCCTGCCTCCCTGCGCGCCCGAGGCCCCCCCCCTCCCCGCTCCCCGCTGCCTCCCTGAAGGTTCCCCTCCGGCCGCCAGCGCCCATCTTTCATTCCTGAGAGGGAGAGATATTTTGCGCACACACACATACACACACGCGCAAAAGAGGAGAAAAAAAAAAAAAAAA